CAACGGAAACGGACAATTTTTGGTAGGACAATGAGGAATAATATGCTACACAAGAGTTTTAAGAAATTATGAATTCTAAAGCGAAGTAGGGATCTTGCTATAAAAAGTAATGAAACAAGAATCACAATCACAAATTTATAAAATTAAATCCTTACTGTGGCCTATAGATAAGTGTATAAAGCTGCAAAAGTAGGGATTAAATTCGTGATTGTGGTTTTAATTCTTGTTTCGTTACTTTTTATAGCAGGTTCCCTACTTCGTTTTAAAATTAATGATTTTGTAATACTCTTGTTTATCTTTTTAAGTTATACCTGTGTGTATATATATATGGATTTTTATCGGAATATCAAAAGCGGATACCCATAGACCAGTTAAGTAAGCTGGTGAAACCTTGTAGTGATAGTCCGAGCTGTCTAGTTGCTAGCCCCACTGGTGTGATCATGTAGGTAGGTAGTAGACGAAAAAGTTGATGTTTTAGAAATTTTTGAATTGTTATACCAGAAATGTTATCGATCTTTTTAACATATCAGTATATATGTGCATAATATTTCATAACCAATACTTTGGATGGGCGGTTTTTCGTATAGGTATTCAATAGGGTGGTTTTTTGGTGTGTCAATTATTTGTAAACCTTGTCAATCCCTACTATTAAGTACTACCATACTTAAAATATGTTCACCAAGTTTCATCAAAACCCAATTATTTTTTACATTGACTCTCCAAACACTAATCACTTGTAAGTTGGATCATAGTCCAAATGTATACCAACTTTTGTCCAAATCCATTCAGTCATTTTCGAGAAATCATGCTGACAAACACACACAGGAGGTGTAAGCATAACCTCTGTCCACCTTCAGTGACAGAGATAATAAAAATTGATAATTAAAATTCACATGCTCAATGTGATTCACACCATAACATTTGTTGTTCTCAAACTGGGGATAATATATATATTTTGAATTTATATTAAGTTCATTATTGTTTTATAGTGCTGATCTTGATCGCCTATTGACAATTAATGTAACTGATTTAATAGTTTTAAAGCTACACCTCTTTTATATATATATGTATCATATGATATCATCTAGAACAGTGTTTCTCAACTCTTTTTATACTTAGGACTGGCTCACTGCCTCCCCCCACTGTCACAGATTGCTTAAATGCATTATGATTTACATATGAATATTCTGTCAGTTTTTGTTTGTTTACATGACAGACCAGTTCCAATCCACAAATTGGTGGTTGAAAAACACTGGCCTAGACCAGTAGTATTTTGTATCCCAGTGGACTTGATGAGCCCTGATATTTGTAGAAAAGCCTCGTGACACTGGATATGGCAGAGGAAGTGTGATTGACATATAATAACATATTCATTGCTTTCACTCGTGGATTCTTGGAATTTATAAATAAGTATTGTTTAAAAATGAATTTAGTAAAATAAAAGAAATTGAAATTCAAAATTTTATATTGAATATATTATGGCCGAAAATATTGTTAACAGCAAGGGTACCTAACTGATGGTACAATGCATTCTTAAGTAGGAATATAACTATTTAGCTATATTCTTTACTGGGTTTGATTTACTACAGCCTTTGATAAGGTGTATATGCCGTAATTTTGTTTCACAGTCCTTCCACAAAGTTATCCAAGAAGATATCCTTGTGATTAGCTAATGCTATCATGTGGTGAGTCTTCTCATGTAGTCGATACCAATCATCTGCAACGGTGGTAAAGTTTCTGAAAGACCTCTGTTATGAGCCTTGACATTTGCCTGACAGATAGCTTGGTTCTCCAGTGGGTGAAAATGTCTGTGCAACTATATCCGAGTCACTAAGCCACTCCTATTCCATTTTGTTCATCTGACCCAAGCATTGTTCTCTCAAGATTTAACATTAGGCATTGCATCACCTGTCCTTAAGTCCAACTATTCCAAACACTAAGCTGCTTGAAATGTTTAAGGAAGTGATTTAGATCTGTATCCTTTAATACTGGAGGAGATATCTACTTACTTTGTTCACAGAGACCTATGGTTGTGGAAACAAGGCATCTCTAGCTATGTCAGCCAATGCCAAGCTGAGACACCTATGGTGTCGGGCAGGGGATAGGGTTGATAGATAGGTAAGAAACTTGTCTCCTAGTTCTGCACGACTCCAAGGTTCTTAATAACCCATCGTGGTCCTAGCAGCATACCTTCCATTTTTGGAGGAAATCTCATCTTCCCCACAAGTACTGTATTCATCATCTCCACCATTTGGCGCTCTGTTTTTTTTGGTGTGATAAAACCACTGGCAGACTTCATCCTCTAGTAGCACCTCCAGTATCATTTGGCTGGTAACAGGTGATGATAATCAGGTTTAGAGTTGAGTTTAGGCCCACCAAAAGGGAAGAGAGGCTAGGGATGTTTCCTTGTGGCTAACTGCTCACCAGTGGGCCTATGAGAGCAGCAAAACATGTCTGTGTAATATGTCAGATCAGTTCAAAACATTAAAAGGAACATTAATTGGACCTTTAGTCACTTATGCTTGTATATAACATCATTCCAAAAACTACTTCGGGTTGAAGGCACATACCAATTCTTCTCCAGAGCCCATAATGACTCTTGGGAGCTCTGGTTGAACTGCCATGATCAACAACAGTCTAGCTGTCCTATAAAAATCTCTCCATTCAGTCTCTTGACCACCAGCCCATAAGTCACCACATTGGGCCTCACTTATCTGTGCTTTCAATGTACCAAGGGTAGTTAATGTTTGGGGTAAAACCTAATCATTGGCTCTGGTCAGAATCCAAGATGATTTTTTTTTTAGATTTTGTAGCAATTTAGCTAATCCATTTGACAAATTTTAAGCTAAACTTGAAAATACTGTAGCCAAGTCAGACTGTAAACTGTATAAAATTGTAGATGTTGTGTGGAAGACTAACACAAGTTGTTCAGTTTTCAAGTTATATATATATATAGTTCAATGTTCAAAATAAGACTCACAGACTGGGTTGTCTAACAAACATTTTTTTGGGTAAATTATGGTTGTTCACACCTGAATGTACAAGATGGTTGACTAATAGAAATTACAACCTTAGTGTTACATTGTCTTAAATTATATATCACACTAGAAAGCTCATTAGTTGAAAGAAAATCTTTATTTTATCAAGGAAATGCAGGAGCAGAATTTGACCCCTTTTTCTTCAATATACTCCAGTCGTGGATGGCCACTTTGCCAGGAAACTTGGAACATTCTTTTGTTTGTTTGGATCATATTTGCAATTGGCTAGTCTTTCTGAAGACTTGTGTCTCCTTTACTTGATCACTCATCTTAGTGGCTATCCATTGTTGGTCGTACATTGTGACTGGTTTGTATGACTATAACGAACACGCTTATTGGTAAACAGTGTGTTTAGTCTTGATGATCACTACCTCACAGAAATCAAAACACTGTGAGCATAGACATACTACTCATAATTTATATAGTACTCTGAACGTGCCAATATGGGCCAGACACCTAGACTACCATGGGATCAGCCCATGCTGTGGTCATTCTACAGACAATATAGTAGTGTATTTCAGTTGTCAAGCAGTAATTTTGATTTTCTCAGACAACTGAAAACTACTTTAAAAACTGATACTGTAACACAACATTAATTAATGTAACTAACTTGGTGATTTTGAAAATGTACTGTAAAAATAATAAAAAAAAGGAATTTCATGGTGTGATGCCACATTTATTAGTGTAGTTAGATGTTGCAGTTTATTTTATTCATATCATAAAAACTAAAAGTAACCATAATTTAGCTTAGTGTGCTGCCAAATCCTATCCTTTTGACAGTGATGTGTATGCATGCAACATAAATGAGACAATATAGACATTCAGTGTTCTAAAATAATAACATAGGCCCACAATGATTCTTTTGAAAGAAGTTATCTTTCCTTCACTTCCTTTGGGTTGATTTCTATTCCTTTTTTTTATCAATGACAAGGCAAAGCCATATATCCAGTTTTATTATTACTTCTCTCTGCTTAATGTGAAAATGAAACATACTATTCACAATAGTGTTGAATGGTACAATGGCATATATTATTCTACTTGTTGTGATGACTATGTATAAAAGTTTTAAGTGCATTATTTGATTCATATGTCAATTTCAAACTTCTCCCCTTGTACTCAAGTCCTTCACCCAGAAAATGCTATTTCCAAGTTTTCCTTAAAGACAAAACTTGTGCTACACAAGACTACAAAGTATTACAGAAATATATACAATTCTTAAATCAGAAAAACTTCACACACACAAATCCTGGTTATCAAATTATAACCTTGTTACCTTACACTTGTATTCCAACTCCACTGATTAACCTTGCAGAAAAGAACAGTAACTACATACAATTGGAGGAAGGCAAGAAATATATTATAGAATTAAAAGTGATAAATTGTCTTGATTGAGGTGGAGGAAAAAGACTCACCATAGTTTTAAAGTAAAATCAATATTTATTAATGCTTGGCACCATTTAAGACCATTTTATTGGTGATCAGCTTATGGAATGAATTGCCATTGATAGTAGTGGAGGTCAACACTTTTGATGGATGGGTTTAAATTTTTACTTTTTTCAATGATGAGTTTGCAAGGACAGCCTTTAAAGGCCAATATGGTTCTTTCTTGTCCATACATTATCAGTAACCACTGAAGAAAGAAGGCTTGTCTAATTCATAAATCATTGTTGCATGTTAGAGGTACTTGTCAATAACTTGTATTAGAAAATGTAATGAAATATTATATTAGTTCATTGGGTATATCTTTAAGTAGTAAAACTTGTTAGTCAATGAAAATACAAAAAAGTGTTGCTTGCCTCTAATTTTTTGATAAAAACTAAAGTTTTATAGTACTGGTACAAAGTCAAGTATATTGAGATATTAAAAATTTGCTATGAAAATGTTTTACAGAACTATTAGTTTATTACAATTTACTGTTTCATGTCTCAATAATTATAGTAACAATTTAAAATGTTTTTACAGAGCTGTTGGTAAAACATGCCTTCTTATAAGTTATACAACAAATGCCTTCCCAGGAGAATATATCCCAACTGTGTAAGTATCTGAAATGTTCATATAGTTACATTATTCTAGGTTGCTTACAAAAAAATAATTTTGTTTATATGTGAATTTGAAATTTACATACCCTGTAATAGTTTAAATGTAGTGAAATGCTTATGAATATTCTCTCAACTTTTCCTTATGAAAGAAAAAATGAAATGCTTTCAGTTTTGGAATCCTTCCTTTATGATGTTTTATGTTGATTTAATAGTAATTAGACAATGGTATTCTTTCTTCTCACCAAACAGTTTTGTTATTCTTCAGTACAGTATTTTTCAAAGATTAATAAGCCTAACTACAATTTGTTATATATATATATCTAACATTGTTCATAATAACTTCTAACAGCATAACGAGTCAGTATATGTTTGTTGTAACTTTTACTTTGCAACAGCTTTTGATCAATTTCTTGAAATACAATCTTAAATGTTTTAGGTATTATTACAACTCTATATCACAGAATATTTCACAAGTTTTGGAAAATGAATTAACAATAATTTATGCTAAAAGATAAAACTTTTCCATTTGTTAAGCAAAATGTCTATCCATAGATTTGATAATTACTCAGCCAATGTTATGGTGGATGGAAAACCTATCAATCTTGGCTTGTGGGATACTGCTGGGCAAGAAGATTATGACAGACTAAGACCACTGTCTTATCCACAGACAGTAAGAATTATTTATTTATTTTTCTTAAGCTCATGATGCTAGTTTCTATACTACAAATGTTTAGTTTGTGATAGGTATAAATTGCTTAAGAGTTACAACCTTCCCTCAGGGAAGCATATATTGCTAGATTTTTTTTTTTATTCATGCCAAAGACTAATGACAATTTGCTTCAAAGAAAAAAGAACAAAGCTTTCACATTTCAGAGCATTTATATTCTAGAATAAATTGAGAAAGATCCTGAAACTGTTTGAGTATATGTATTTAACTGGGTCAAGTTTTAAGCCAAGTTCAATTTCACTTAATTTTATTAAATCTCTTACCTTCTGGTGTATTAATTACGTGTATTCATTAGATTAGTTATGTTTGTTAATTATTCTTAGCTTAAACTGTTTGAGTATATGTATTTAACTGGGTCAAGTTTTAAGCCAAGTTCAATTTCACTTAATTTTATTAAATCTCTTACCTTCTGGTTTATTAATTACGTGTATTCATTAGATTAGTTATGTTTGTTAATTATTCTTAGCTTAACCAAACCAGTTGTACCAAGTATATTTGTACTAATTTTATTGCACATATTGTTTTCATTAAGTAATTCATTTTTCACAATTTTTCTTCCAGAATTGAATTGGTGAACTTTCTAAGTGCTAAATTTTATCTGATTGGTAATACAGGAGTATTTTACAACAAAAATATTAAAAACTATTAAAATGGGTTAAGTATTTTGTTTTTTTTGCAGGATGTCTTTTTGATCTGTTTTTCATTGGTAAATCCAGCATCATTTGAAAATGTTAGAGCAAAGGTGAGTTTTATGTATATGTAGT